TGAATCCAAGGTGAAGCTTTTTCTCTTCCCATGTTGAATGGAGGGGAGAAAAAAAACCTTGTCTTGGATCCAAGTAAATATGGTAATTTCTCCCTTTTTATCTAGTATAGGGGTGGGCAAAATGGAGGATCTGGCCAGCAGCTGGACTCCATTTCCCAGAATTCCCTGCCTAACCAGATGTTCTGCTTTCTGCTCCCTGCCATATCTGCCACTGCTTCCTGTCCCCCTCCCTAATCTGCTCTGTGCCACACACGGAGGCTGCCCGTGCCATTATGGCACCTGTGCCTCAGGGTGGCCACCCCAGACTAGACGATGTCCTGGGATTGGGATTTAGGAGGGAGTAATGAAGGAGGTGCTAGAGGAAGAGAGATGCATTTGATGAGAAGCAAGACATGTGGGAGGAGATACGGCAGTGGTTTGTCAAAGATACTGGGGACAAGGAACCAGGGTATACATCATGAAAATGGATGAGGGCCCAGAAAGGACAGACTGGAAGTTCACAGCAGGTAGAACAGAGACCTGAGGTTGGGGAGACTGATTGATTGTATCAGCCTGTGGGAGAGGAGGAACTGAGGCTGTCTAGGAAAGGAGATAAGAACATGTAGTGCTGAAGCATGACACAGGGACGTTCTGGACAAGGAGATGGAGGTGAGAGGATTGGGATTGATTAGGTAAGGAGAGAAGCACTGGGACAAGGAGTGAAAGGTGTGATGGGCTGTGATAGGTTGGATGGATGAAATGGAGTAGAAAGAGGTCAGGCATGGGATAGAGGAGAGAAGAGTCTGCCTCTCATCCATTGCCCTAAAGAGTCTGCAATGGAACTGAAGAGCCCCAAGTCTCCTTTTTACTGTAACATCAAAGACCTATGAAACCCACTGGCAAAGTGTCCTGCCCCCCATCCCCCTTTAGTGCAGGGTCCACATAGAGGAAAACAACCTACTACTGCTAAAAGTTACTCCTGTAGTTTTGGTGGCAGAGGTCTGTGTAGTATGGCTAAAAGTTTTGACCCTGCCAACAGCATACATGGCTATCAATGTACATGCCATGTGATGAGATCTCTCATTAAGTCACATGCAGGAGGAAAAAAACACACCTACATTAAAGGAGCATCATTCTGTGGGGAAAATAGGATGTGGTGATGTGATTAGACTGCATCACTATGTAGATACTGAATCAAAGTTGCACTCCAGCAGCAAATGACTCCCTGATGTGCCACTGTTCAGAGTCAACCATTGCACAATGCACCTCTCTTTTACACGTGCAGGGGTCGAAGATATTTTGGTGAAACCCCGAGCAGACCACAAAAGAGGTAAAATTATTGAAGAGTCGACCTACTGTGGTACCAAGGTAAGTGCATCTTGTGAAGAGGGTTTAGTTTTTGTCCTTTTTTAAATGTCAAATCCCCTGCTCTGTGCAATTATAGTTGTGTCTGCATTAGCACCTAAAAGACTTCTTTGCTTCCAGGCTGTTAGAGCTGCCTTTAATTTGCCAGAAACAACATCACATGAGGAGGTCCAAGGGAAATGGCAGGATGCTCATCTCTGCAAAGACCAGAGGGATTTTAATATGGTTGATCTGAAATTCAAGGAGGAAGTAAACAATTACAGCAATGAGGTTAACAAGGTTGGCATTGAGCGGTAGCTGCATATATTAATATTGCTTGCAAATTTTCTTAACATTGATTTAATGCCAGTAAAACAGCCCCAACAATCCTGGAGGCTAAAATCCACTTCTTCCACACTTGGCAGGAAGAGCCCAGTCAGCATGTCTCAGCCACGATGTAGCAATGAGAACTACCTCTGAGATCAAAGTGATTTAACTTTCAAGGCTCTTAACTTTTGGGCTGTCATCAGAACGTGCCATAAAAAACTGGTTTCTTTGTAACTGTAATAACTTTTGATTTTGATAGTCTTGGATATCATTTTTACTTTCAACAGATAGTGAATTTTACTTTCAAATTCTTCTAGTTTAAGTAGAGATTTGACTTAATCTTTGTTTCAATACCTGCAGGTATGTATGCCTCTTGGTCTCCATAGGAGCTTCCCAGAGAACAATTTGCAGCTAATGGTGCAGTCAGGAGCCAAAGGATCGACTGTAAATACAATGCAGGTAATAACATCATGACAGTATTTGGCTATATATGTTTCCATGTTTTGTTCTAAGAATATAATTTGCCAAGAGGCTACTCTAGGAATCTGCTTGTGCATTTTCCGAAGCAAACCAAGCTGGTATTTATTGTTAGCTTCCAGAGCCAGAAAGGCAACATTTTTAACATGGGTTACTTCTAGTAAAATATAACATGATTAAAGACTTCATCACGTGATGGAGAAGATTATGGGATTTCGCATCTTAACATTACTCCTTAGAACAGCAAGATCTGTTGCAGTAAGAAAACACCCAGGTGGTAGATGGAATGACGTGGATTACACAGACAAACCCCAGCTCCAAGTTTAAAATGGTTTTGTTGCATCATGCATTAGAGCTTTCTGCCATCAGAATAAACTATACATTGTTTAGGGTGATCCAGTGGAATATAAATCATAATAGCATAAGCTAAGCAAAGAAAAAATCTTAAGGAAATGACAAGCTTGATCTAACTGGGCTTCACTATCTCTTACCAGCAATTAGTTCTTGTATATTTAAAAAGTGTTTAAAGGGAGGGGATATTAAATGTATTGTGTGAACAAAAGAGTAGTGTGGGAACTGTCCTTTTTGCCATTAGAACAGGGTTAGCCTGATTTCCTTCCTTGTCTGTTTGCCTCTTTCCAATATAGATTTCCTGCTTGCTGGGCCAGATTGAGTTGGAAGGACGAAGGCCCCCACTAATGGCATCTGGGAAATCATTGCCTTGTTTTCAGCCGTACGATTTTTCCCCTAGATCTGGAGGATTTGTGACTGGCAGATTTCTCACAGGCATCAAGCCTGCTGTAAGTTACTCCACTTGGGGAACCTGTTTATTCTTCTCTTCTGTTCTTTCCTTGCACTGAAACGTACTGAGATTCAGCCGTGTGT